GGGAGTTATTGTGAGGATTAAATGAAATAATGTATGTGAAAGTGCCTAGTACATAGTGCATTCTCAATAAATATTTATTAAAGAAAAGTAGCCTTGCATTCCAATGTCAAAGATAAATTATTTTTGAATTATGACTTGGATATTTTTTGTGCAATTATACACATGTAAGACTATGGATACAGGAACGGAAGTGATCGTCTTGGGATTCTTTAATAATTATACTCCCCTTCCTTTTGACTTTTTTGTCTTTCACCCACTTTGAAGAATATAACTATTTAAAGACAGAATCCTTGGCAGAAATAAACCTTCTTTTTGATAAAACCCAGATGCACAGGGAAAGATACGTTTCCTGTAGAGATTCCTGCAGGCATGAAATGTCCTGGGAATTCTTCACCACAGGACCAGGCTGGCTCCACTTAGTAAACGGAGCAAGAGAGTGGATCTTTGTTAACCTGTGTACCCCTGACAAGGTGTGTACCTGAGAGTGACGGAGGAATGATCAAGCCAGTTCTCAGCCTCTTCCCAGCACAACCCCAGGACTCACACAGTGACAATGTGAATGACGAACGGTGTTTTGTTGTCCAAAGCAATTTTAACACATCAAGTGCTGAGGCAGGAGGACAGGGAGGATTTGGGGGTAACAAAATGACCTGGGAATTTTTTTAAAAAATTCAAATGTGAGTATCTCCCTTCTTCAACCAAAATTTTAGGTCTTTACTCAGGGGTGGAGGCAGGGACATGGATATCTTTTAATATCTTTCCTGGAGATTCTGATACCCATCCTCCTTTCCTCTCCCTAACCCTGAGAACTGCTAATCTAGTATATTAATCCCACCTGTGTGTGATTTGCCCTTACCCCTTAGCGAGTATAACCTCTGGGGCACAATGAGCTGTGGCTGAGTACTGGCTGCCCCCTTCAGGCAGGGCTAACAGCTCCTTCATGGACTGTAGCATAAATCTTTATACACTAGACCTACCCACTCATTTATGTAATTGAGTCTGCATGGCCTTTCACCTTCACACCTAGGCAAAAAGGGATCCAGTCTTAGTGCTGGTCTTTGTGAATTATGTTAGTCAGCTAACAGGAACAACTTAGAAGACAAGCTAATTTGGAGCTCATAGTTTCCGAGGTTCAGCCCACCATCCGCCCACTTCATTGCTCTGGGTCTAAGGTAGGATGAAACATGGTGGCAGAGAGAGGCTAAGGAGTACTGCTCCACTCACCACCGTGGCCAGGAACCAGGCAGTGAAAGGGGAAGGGCCTTAGGGAGTATGAACCCTTCCAGTGTAGGAGGACCCACTTCCTCCAGCTATGCCCCACCGGCCTATAGTTACCATTCCAATGGATGTATTAGGTTACAGTTCTCATCATCTAATCATCTTACCTCTGAATATTCCTACATTATCACAGGAGTTTCTGAAGGACACCTCATATCCAGATCTTAACAGGGTTCCAACCTGGTTCTTATTTAGTCATGCCTCTCTTCACAGGGTGAGGAGTCCTTGGGGACAAGTAAAACTTCCTGTCAAGGAGTCACCTACTTTTTTAACTCATTGATTTCCAAACTTTAATGGGCTTATGAAATACCTAGGGATCTTGCTAAAATGAAGATTCTAATTCACTAGATCCAGAATGAGTCTGCACATCTGTATTTTTAAAATAATGTGCCTGGTGATGTGGACTGTGCTTTGAGTAGCATGGGTCCATATTATGCTCCAGGTTCCTGGATCCTGGATGTTCCTGAACAAATGATACCCAGTCTGCATGGCCTCTTTTCTGGGTCTTTCCTCCTGAAGATAGACTGTGATGCCACTGCACACTCCTACCTTAGGAGCTGACCAAAAGGGTGCTCAGCTTAAATGGGTGAAGCCTTTGGGATGGGGAATAGACCTGGAGTCAGAAAGGAAACAGGGTTCACGTGATTATGACACTGGATTGGGATCAGAGACCATGACGAGTTACTTCTCCCCACCTTACCATATTGTGATTCAGCATTTCAAGTAGTCCAAAACTTCTAAATTCAAAGCTGCCCTTTTCAGGTTGTTAATTAATGTATGGGAATAGAATGCATTTTCCTATAAAAGTTTATTTAGCTTGATTATATGTGTATATTTAAATATAAGGACATATAATGTATGGGCCTCCATTTCTCGCTGCAGGCCCCATAATTGTTAGAAGTGCTTCTGTTGGAAGGTGCCTGACTTTGTAACCACTTTTTATCCTTCCTCTATATCATTCCGAGTATAAACTTCACAGGAAAAAGGATGATGGGAAGTTATTACTCTTAACTTGGACAGTTCTTCTGTGACACATATCCTTCTGTCAAATGTGATTTGAATTCACTTGCTTTTTCTGGACCTCTCTGGTGCAAGTCAGTATCTATTAGCACCATTAATATCTATATTAGACTCTCTAATACTGAACTCTCTAGGATATGGAGTAGTCACCAATTCTTTTGGTTAACAATGTTTGCAAATGTGGCTACAGGGTTGCATGACAATGAACCCCACCCAGCTCAAAAGAGAAGGCTTTCTGGTGATGCTTTTTGACGGGGTTTTTGTTCTCTTTTATAAGCTATGTTTTTATCCTGTTACAGTAGCATGGTTTTACAAGTCCTGGGTTGGGAGTCAAATCTCAGTCCTACCAATTACAAGCTGTGAGATTCTAATTTTTCTATTTTTTTCACTCCTAAAATGGAAATAATAATTTCTACCTCATGGGTCCATAAAGAGGATTAAAGGATAATATACATATAAAAACATTTAGAATGGCATCTGATCCAGAGTGACCACTCAAATATGACCATTCAAATAATGCTATCATTAGTTCACTCAGATTTTATCTTCTTTTTGAGGTTGTCTAAATGTTCTACCATTGATTTTACTCTTCTCTGAAGTCCTTCATCTTTATAATAATTATTTTACTTTTTTAAATTTATATTCCATTATTATTAGTCAAATACTCCCCCCCCCCACCATATTAGAATGCATTTTAGGTCAAGGTCAACATCTTACTTTGTATCCTCCAGAACTCAGTGTACAATAGTGGACACAAGGAAGACACTCAAATCTCTCTTGGGTGATCAACTCATCCACTGTAAAGGAATATTTAAGAACAAATTGAACTGATCTCAGAAAGATTCAAGAAAAAATGGAAAGTGGAAAGGATTCAGAAAAGGAGTTGAAGTCATGAGACTGCACTGGTTGGAGAAGGGAAATCGCTCAATTTGCTGAGCAGGAATAGAGATTAAAGTATTGAGTCTCACCTGGCAGAATTTGGTGGAAAGGCGGATATACTTTTCCAGCCTAGTCAGGGGGGCCAGGGTTACTGGAGTTCACCTTCAGATAGAGCCCTGTGCCCCAGGGATAGGCTTATCTGAACAAGAATATTATAAATCCACAAGAGATGACAGGAATTGGCACAGTGCTCATCAAAGGGAAAAGGAAAAAAAAAACAGTATTAGAGTTCAAGATTTTGAAAAGGTGTTAATTTGTATACTGCAGCCTCACTCCTCTGACCACTCTACTAGCTAATCAGAAAGTCAAATCTCAAATTAATCCCTTCCTTCACTGTCTACCTCCTCTCTCTTATTTGCTGAAAGCATCTAGGGGAGCCCACTTCAGTTGAAAACAGTGTGGGGCTAGGACTTGGAAAGGAACCAGCCACAAATTTTGCAAAATCCTAATTTGTTTACCCCCTGCCGACAGACAGAAATGTTTATGTTTATCTCTGAGGTTTTGGCCCCATGTGGAGTTCAAGTGCTCCAACAGTTCTGACACTTTCACACACCAAGGCAAGGTTAGAAGTCTGTTTGTCCTTTATTAATTTGTTGGGGGAATATATTTGGGTTTGCACTTCATGCCAGTAAATGCAAGAAGGGATGCCGTTGTGACATTGTTTCCTTACCCTTGCTCTCCATGTAAACAGAAGTTGTCTATCTGGCAGCCTGGCGGCTATATATAAAGACCCTGTTTACTCAATCTGAATGTCCATTTCATTTCTGCTTGGTCCGCAAAATAAATGAAATGAAAAAGTGTGTCCAACTTAGAATTGTGTGAGTCTGAAAAAGACATTTGGGTCACTGAGTAACTAAAAGCACCCTCTGTTTACATGTTTCCGCAGTTTCTGTCACCGCAGCTGTGTCACAGCTTATAACAACTAATCCCTTTTTATTTATATTTTACTTTATTTTATTTTGTATTAAAGGCACTTTTAAGCCATGTCTTCCAAATGTGTCTGAGGTTTCATAACTGTCTTAATAGTGTATACACATTACAGTTACGGCAGTGAATTTCCTCCAAATCTGGGTTTTGTTAAGAGTGACTTTGAGAATAGTTTGTAGGACAATTAAAATGTGCTAATCTGTATTTGAAAACTTGATCCGGTGAAAAATCAGTTTCCCATCCATTTATATTTGCCCAAGTTTCCTACAGCATGTAACTGGGTTTCCTTGGGAGATGCACAAAGGAGGTTTGTGGAGGAGAAGGTTTGAGGGAGCCCTGGGCAGCTAAGGTACCTTTTAGGCCCTGGGGTGGAAGGCTTCTTAAGGGAACCTGTGTTCTTCCTCGGGAGAAAGTGACGCACTGAAGAGTAGGAAATGGGGCTTGAGCAAGCTCACTTCATGCTCAACAAAGCCTAACATCATTTTAGTGTACAACTTGAGTTATGTGTGTGCTTTTAATAAACCGATCCTTACAAAAAATAAATAGATTTGTTCTGCTTAAACTGGCATACAAAGGGCTTGGAGGGGGAAAAAAAAAGAATCTCTAACACCTCTTGGAGATTTGGAAGGTAACTTCACACTCCAGCTTCAAGTCAGGAACGTGTGATAGCACTTTGACAGGAAGTAAGTGGATTCTGTCCCAGACCTTGGGAGGAGCCTGGAGCGCAGTGGTGGAGGTCTAAGGCCAGGAGCTTCCCGCCCAGCAGGGGGTAGCCAAGCGCTGGTAACTGGAAAGGAATTCAACACTCAAATCCTCCCGCCCGCCAGCAGCACAGCTCTGAGATTCTAGAAGTAGAGTTTAGATTTCCCTCACCAACGCTTAGATTATTTGCTTCAAAAGGAGCCGCTCACCTGGGGCCTTCGCCTGAGACCTGGAACCTACCTACGTGATGCATCCTTTGGAAAGGGATCCAAGAAAGAGGGGAAGAAAAGTGCATTTACCTGTCCAAGGCTGGGAATGAAAATGGGTGGGTCGGAGGCCAGCCAGGTTTTACTTTCCCTTCTCTTTCTTTTTCCTCTCTCTCTCTCTCTCTCTCTCTCTCTCTCTCTCTCTCTCTCTCTCTCTCTGTGGGCAGAGGCCAGGTTCCCTGGGGAAGGATGGACAGAGAGACAGCTCCAGCTTGCTGCCCTGGATGTGTGTGTGTGTGTATGTTTGGCCAGGAGGGAGCCCCCACAATCTCCCCTGAGAGAACCTAGGAGGCTGCAGGTGAGCCCCAGGACAGGTGATTAGAAGGTGAGGCCCCGGCAGAGGAGACTTAAGGGTGACTTCTGGGCTGCTGGGGGAGAAGGAAATGCCAAGCCAAGAATTCTCCTGGAAGAAGCAGAACGGAGGTGAGCCTGGGACAGGTCACTGTAGAAAAAAATGTTTTGAAGGAAGTCCCTGCTCCTCACTGTCTGCTGCAACGGGAGCTTGAGCCTGTGTCACTGCCCTGCCCACCCAGAACATTCAGGCCCCAGGTTTCACCACGGCTTCACCTTGTTGCTTTCTATTCAGGCCATTCTCAGTGGTTGATGCTGCTTTTCTTTGTTCTGCTTTCTTTCTCCCAGTGCAGTGAACCCTTACATTATGGGTTTCTGTTGTAGTTCTAACCTCTAATACACAACCATTACATCTTATCTCGTCTTCTAAATTACTCTAAAATCCAATTATAAAACCCTCTCTCCTTCAGGAGCACACAACTTGCCACATTACTGAAATGCTGGGCCGCTCTTTTGTTTTTCTAAATTAATAATAACTACCATTTTCCGTCTGCTCTTACCATGGGACTCTGTTCTATCACCACACAAGCTTTCCCAAATGCATATTATGATTCTTTTTTGTATCTTTCTTTGGGCTGAGAAAAGAGCTAAGGATGATTTTCCAAATATTCATAAACGATCTGTCAGTTGGTATCAGAACGTTTGAAATTCTACCATCCTTAAAGAAGAAAAGCGTTTTCAAGTCAGTTGAAATGAAAATTAAATCTGTTAAAATTTCCCGATGGCTTTGCTTTGTCGATGTAGAAGGAAACCCAACAGTTTTAAGGTTTTAAAATGTTCGAATGGATTTTTTTTTTGTCTGTTAGTTATAATTTCTGTGGATTAAAAACTCCCAGTCCTACGGAGATTTTAAAAACACAAATGAGTTTTAATCCGACACTCATTGTGAGTTTCTTTGAGTCGAAAGGAGGGAGGAATTCAACTTCTATAACCTATAGAAATATTTCAGTAAAAATGAACATGCCAAAAATCACTTTAGGGAAAACTTCAAAACTACTGAACACATCACATCCACACACACTTTTTTTCTAGCAGAGATATTAGAGGTGTTTATAATAGAAAGTCAATTTTAGGAAAATATGGTAAATTCAAATCTGTTTTAGAAAAAGAAAGCTGATGTTCGTCAGTGTTTTAGAATCAGGCATGAAGTTGAACTGCGATTGCTTTTTTTTTTTAACTTCCAAATTCCTTTAGTCTTGTGGAAAAGTACATTTGACATACCTAAGGCATCTGATTATGCAGTTAACAAAATGTGCTTGAAAGGCAATTATTAAAAATCTGGATACAGTTAATGATCCACTCTCCTTTTATATTCACGAACTTGGGTGTGTTCAGCGGAGTTCTTCCTTGTAAAGTTCGTACTTGTGAGCTTATTCTCGGGCTTTGGCTGTTTAGGCTAAATATGTTACCAAATGTTGAGAAGACTGGAAAGGTCTGAAAGTGCACATTAAGTTTCAAACAAGAATTTAAATAATAACATCTCTCTTTTAGGTATTTTGTATATTTATTATGCCCAAAGTTAAATCTTTATCTCTGTAAATATTAAAACATCTAAAGCCAGGTTTTCTTTAATAAATCAGCTCTGCTGAAGAGTTTTCAGAGGCCAAAGAAGAGGCCAAAGGAGAAGATGGATAGCATGTACTTGGAATGTATAGGCTAAGAGAGATGAACCAGAGGACACACTGATCACAACATAATGTAATCAGCCCATAATTTAAGATATAGAGGAATCTAATTGTTATCATGAGCAACAACTCAGGGAAATGGAGATCAGGAGAAAGGAAATCACAAATTATATAAAAAACAAAAATTGTAGTTTCTCATTCTTACAGAAATTATATATTACAGTAATTATATATTGCTGTAATTATACCTGTGCAAATATAGACTGCATGCTGTATGTTCTTTTTAGTTGTATTAAACAAATACACTCTATAATCTTAATTTAATTATGATGGAAGCATAATAACATTATTTAACAAATGTTCCTACGTTTCCTTTCCTCCTTCCCTTTTTTCCTCTTTTTAACTCTTTCTTCCCATTTTGTTGGTTTGTTTTTCACTTTTTAATGAAAATTAGAATACATGGCCAGAGTTATTATTGTTCTCAGCTTGATGGTCACTGTTAGTTTTGTTGGATAGAATCTCTCATAACTTATACATTACTTCAAAGTGGAAATGTTTTAAGAATTGACACAATCCGCTTTGCTTAGAAATATTTATGCCCAAGCATGCTACCAATATGTTCTTTGAGGTTCTCTTATCTTTTCATGCCTAAATTTTAATTAGTTTCTAACAAATAAGTCAGCCTTTTACCATTTTGATAAAGCAGATTCAAATCCACGCAAGTCAAATATATGGGTGGTCTTTGCAGAATTGATTTTTCTTTTTTTCTAAAGTACACAGTGCATTTTCTACCATGTGTGAGTATTGCATAGCAAACTTCAAAAGAAACATTTTAAATTGATATTGATTTTGCATATTATATGGGGGGCTCCATTTTTTTAAAGAAAGTATTAAGATTTTTTGCGACTCGTCGGCAGATGAACAGATGGACTATGTGATCTCTAAATTCTTTAAAATAACCGGTTACTTAAACTATTAAACAAATCACAAGTGACTGTATAATACATGACATTTAAGAAAGAGTATCTTGAAGATAAACCACAATTTCCTAATTTATAAGTCACCCAAGCAGGTCTTTAAGGCTTTCTGTCGATTTGGAGATAGACCAGGTCTTGGGCCACAAGAGCACCATTTAGGGTGCTGTAGAAATATAATAAATTACTCTTTAGTGCCCTAGAGCCCTGGAAGAGTCTACACAGCTTCCAGGAACATTAAACACCTGGTGAGTAACTCAGACAGGAGGATGGCCTGATTGAAGGTGTCACAGCATGTCTCAATTGTGATTTTAAAGAGCAAGATGAGACAGTGTATCAGGGCCTCTCTTCTCTTCTCCTCCATGTTTCCAGGGGACTGAGCCCCTCCCTGCAGTGCTGAAGCACTGGAGATTATTATGGTCTTAAAAGCAAAAGCCTGTAATTTAAAGTCATAACACCACCTTTAAAACGGAGATTGAAATACAGTAATATGAAATACATAAGGCATCAAGATGTAGCAAATGTCTCCTCCCATTAGATTTCTATATTTATAAGGGGGCAGTAATATGAAGTTTATTTTCCATATTGATTGTGTAGCTTCTCTATTTAAAACCAAGCAAGTACCACAAGACCCAAATGCTTTTTAATGCCTACTAAAGAAAAACTTCCTTGTCCTAAATGATAAGTTAAAATAAAATAAAAGTTAAAAGCTTAGAAAAGAAGGCTCCAACTTTTTAAGATATCAAATATTACTTAGAAAACAGTATCTTGATCAGCTGGATATAAATGAACATATGGATTGTATTTACCCTAATATACCAATGGTTTACCATGACATTAAAAGAAAAAAAAAATATTAAGTACAGAAAGACTCCCCATAGCCACATACTTGACTTTGAAAACAAAGGAGCTCAAGACATTCAGCAAACTCAAAGCATCCTTTTCCTCACCTTTAAAAATCATATTTATATATGTATTTTGTTTGACATTTCAAAGCTTTTTCATGATCCTATGTATTGATTTGGAAACACCAGTTTTAAATATTGAACAATGGTGAAATAAAAAATTTTAATTAGTTAACCATGAGAGTAAAAAATACTATATGGAAAATGATTCTACTTTTACAAGGAAGGAAATGTCACAGGGCCTTTGAATTGGTGGGGGAGGAGGGATATCCTTGCAACAGTGCCTACTGGAAATTACTAGAAATAAATCTTTTTTTTTTTTGAAATAAAGTTCAAGGTAACATTTAAGTGAATAATTATTTACCATTTTGTTAAATGCTGGTGTGGATGGCCGGCATCATCTATTAGTACTAATGCTTTTTCTGCTTAGAATGGCTCATTAGTTTCTTTGTAGGCTGCACTGGTTTTAAGATTCAAATTCAAAATCTCCTCTGATTTTGCTGTTCCGTTTCTGGCAGCCGGCCAGCAGCAGATATGCATAATATTTCACTGTTAGACCTTGCAAACATTATATCCTGCTGTGCTAAAGAAAACATTGTGTTTCTTACCACATGAAAATAATCCATCACTTTTCAATCAGCACACAAAAAAAGCTCTACCTGTTTTTTCCATCAGACTCAAGAAAAATTAATGGCCCCAATGTGAAAGGTGGACCCTCCATCCATGATCCATTAAAGTACAAACTAATCAAAATATATCTAGCATCTGATTTGCTAAGCAAGATGGAACAAAAGAGGTGTGATGAAAAAAATAGATCCTTCTAAGACCCATACAACCTTATTCTATCAGTATTAACCTTATTTATTTTAAATATGGGAGGACATAAATAAAAGATCATGAAATGAATCCATTGAATTCAATCAATTCAAGTAGACGCTATTTATCTAAAAGAGATGGCTAAAGAAACCTACTGTGGACTGGAGGAAAATTTTTTAGTGGACATGTTTTTAAAAAATAAAGATAGCAATTCCTGGTGCCAAAAATAAATAAATAATACACAAATAAAGAAAGGTTATGAATTCCCCCAGTGGGTCACAAGATAATATATTAAAATCAAAGTTTTCTTTGAGAGTAAAAATACCAGTATTTTGTCAACTTATTCATGCTTTCAAAAATAATTTCAGGCCTTTTGCAATGCTGATGCCATAGCTACTTTTGAGTGAGACACAAAAGCTCTATGCTTTTTGCAGCAATATCTAATCAGAAAGATTAGTAGTCACTTCAAAGGAGACCCCATTAAAAAATCCATTTGACAACTTTTTAATACTTCCATTGGAGTTGCTTAGATTTCTTTGTTACCCTTGAATTGGGGGAGTTTTTTTCAATCTCTGTCTCTCTCCTCTCCCTACTTACTCTGTTTTGGCATGATTGGCTCTTTTCATTTACTGCACTTAATAGAAGTACAGTAATAAAAATGTAGACCATAGAATGTAGTGCTAATACTAAGAAGGTATACTGGTAGCTGATTTTTTTCACAGGATGTAGATTATGTTTTAGAACTTCATATTTAGAACAAGACACTGTTTTGTGTTTTTTTTTTTTTAAGAAAGAGAGAGAACTTTTTAATATTTATTTTTCAGTTTTCGGTGGACCCAACATCTTTATTTTTTTAATTTTTATATGGTGCTGAGGATCGAACCCAGCACCCTGCGTATGCCAGGAGAGCGTGCTACTGCTTGAGCCACATCCCGAGCCCCAAGACACTGTGTTTTGAACTGGTATTCCAGTTTCTTTTTTCTTTTGTTTCCATCTCCAATTCAAGTTACAGAAGTCCTAAGGTTGGGCTCCCTAAAGCATATTATATTGGCTTCTCAGTCACAGAGTTTCCATTTTGTTGATGTGCATTGAAAGAGAGAATAGCTTTAGAGTTGGAAAGTTCAAAGAAATCCACTATTATGCATGAGAAAACTGAAGCTCGGAGATTTTAGGTGACTTATTCAAGGACACTTAACTTGGAATGGTAGTTCAATCATCAGGAGCCCCTTGCAGTACTTTCTCCACTACTCCAGTGGTTCTTTTTCTACAGTAGTGCTTCTAAAACTGTAATCTTCATGCAAATGACATGGAGATCTTGCGACGTTAATTCAGTAGGTGGAGACAAGTCCACATTTCTAACAAAGTTCAAGGGCATACTGATATTGGCTTTTGCAGAGCACCATTGAAGAATTCTGTCAAATTGTCAGATTGGTTTTATGGTCCTTTGAAGTCTGACCCTGTCTTCTGCTGGCCTGTATGTACACTCGAATATGATTACTTAGATTATTCACTCACTCATTGAGTATGCTTTGAGTGTCCTGATTTTGTCTTCTTTATGTGTCCATTTACTCTGCCTCTTTTCACTTCCTTGCAATTGAATATCTACTCTTTCATTTTCATTTTCTTTTTTCAGTAGCAAACGTAATTCCCAACTTCTTCTTAAAGACTTTCTTGTGATGAAATATAAAATGAGTTTTCCTTCTTCTGATTTTGTCCATCACTCCTTAGGAGCTTAGCAGGTTGATAACTACTTACTAAACAGAGTAACAAAACAAATGCATAACTGAATAAAATGGCAACATTAAGTTATAGGAGAGAAAAACTAAAATTTCTTTTCTTTTGTTTTAATAAAAAAATTTTTCTTGAGTTGTAGATGTACATAATACCTTTATTTTATTTATTTATTTTTTATGTGGTGCTGAGAATTGAACCCAGGACCTCACACATGCTAGGCAAGAGCTCTACCACTGAGCCACAACCCCAGTCCAGAAACTGAAATTTTTGAACTCTGTGGAAAACCTGTGGAATTAATAAAGAGATTTTTCTCCTTTTCTTTTTACTAAATATTATGCAGAAAATAATTCTGAGCCAATTACAGAAAAGGAAACTTAGTAATTTGTAGATTGTTCTAAGTCAAGGATCATAAAACTTATTTTTTTTATTGGTTGTTCAAAACATTACAAAGCTCATGACATATCATCTTTCATACATTTGATTCAAGTGGGTTATGAACTCCCATTTTTACCCCAAATACAAATTGCAGAATCACATCGGTTACACATTCACATTTTTACATAATGCCATATTTGTGACTGTTGTATTATAAAGTCTTAGGTAGTCAATGTTACAGCCAAGAACCATACAGTGGGTCTCCTTGAAGTGGTGGTGAAAGTCATGTCAGGACAAGAATTTAGAAAGTTTCTTCCATTCTGGGACCAAGTATTGGTTGAAGGGAATACAGCCAAAACTGTAACTGTAGGAGGATTATGCTTCTAGAAAAATCTCAAGGAAAAGTATTACAAGCAACACTAGTAGCTGTGAGATCAGTCTCTAAAAGAAATAGTGGAGAGATTCAACCAGTTTGTTTGAAAGATGGAGATAAAGTTCTCCCAGAGTATGTAGGCACCAAAGTAGTTCTAGAAGACAAGCATTATTTTTTATTTAGAGATACTGACATTCTTGGAAAGTATGTAGACTGAAATAAATCACTGTTGAAACAGCATTGTACGATGCTGCCCATTCCACTGAAGTTCTGAAATCTTTCATCATGTAAATAATTTCCATGTCTCTCTTTTATAATAAACTGATGATAATCTAAACTAATGACATTCGTTGTCTCTAAAGTTTAGCTTCCCTGTATTTGTATAAACATTTCCAAATAAAATATGGAAAAGAGAAAAAATATTACAGCAATTGTAGACCATATGATCTGCATAGCAATTAACCGCGTCTATCACTGTAGCAGGAAAGGAGCCATTGGCAGTATGTGAAAAAATATATATGGCAGTGTTCAATATTACCTCATTTACAAAAAGAGGCAGCTGCCAGATTTGGCCTGCCTATAGTAATTTATCAATTGCTATAATAGATTGTACCCTAATATATTCTGAACAAAGAGAGGAATTATCGAATCCACAGTTGTTAATTGTAGCTTAATGAACTCTGAGGAACTGGGCTAGGCCAGGCCAGGGAAGAGTGAAAGTGGGCAAAGCAAGGAATCTAACTGACTTTTTCATAAAAATTACCATTTATGGAAACCCTCCAAATCATATGTCACTCATATCCAATCTCAATTTTCAAAATGCTGCTACACAAAGGTGTGGCCTGTGGGTCATATCATCGGCAGTACCCTGCTTGTTACAAAAGCATCAACTCTGTCCTCAGCTTTGCAGAGTTAACATTAGCAGAGTCCACACTTCAACAACATCTTCAATTGATGCATTTTATAGTGTGAGATTTCTGAAAGTGGTATGTCAATCATCTGCTTCAAAATTATATCAGGGCTGGTAACAATGTGAATTTTGGGCCAATCTAAGATTGATTTCATCAGTGCCACTGGAGATGAGACCACAGATTTTAGAAATTTAGATCTATACTGGAACTTGAATACTATCAATCAGGTCCCAGATTTCTCCATTCTGTCTTTTATCAGGATCTCTCAGCTTCATTTTTCTTCATTTCATTTATTTGTTAATCTCTTAACAGTTTTCTTTTCTCAGCTCTGAGTTTGCTTTTCTTAATATAAAGGTAGCATTCAATTTTTGTTCATTTTTGGTGAGCATTAACATATAAAATGACATGACAGCTATTTTATTATCTTCTCAGATGGTACAAAAGTACCTCTTATGGAGGATACTGAATATGGGAGAAAATTTGGATAAGTCATTTGAAGTACCGAGGATTGCAAAGGCAAGTTTAAATAATAGGGCTATTGCAATGCTTTCTGAGGATTGGGAGATCTATTAACTATGTGGCTTTTTAAATTTTTATTTTATTGCTTAGAATAAACAAGTTTGGGTGGAGGTGAATTGCTCTGTAAATTTGCATAATATTTTCTACTTTTCTTCCATATAGTACTGGCTCTGTAGAAAAAAAAGTAATCTGAGTTTTATTAAGGGGAAAGAATTTTGGAGGAAAAAAAGTGTCACATGATTGTGGGATGTGTAATATAAAGTATCCTCTTTGATACCCATACAACACTTCAGCAAAGCACCCTGTGCTTACTAGGACTCTTTCTTCTTCTTTTTTTTATGGTTTCAGTTTTAAAAAATTTGTTCTAATTAGTTATACATGATAGTAGAATGCATTTTGACACATTGTATACAAATGAAGCATAACTTTTCATTCCTTTGGCGGCACTTGGTGCTGAGTCACATCAGTAGTATAATCATACATGCATATAGGGTAATAATGTCTGTTTCATTCTACCTATTTGTTTGAGGTAAGGGACAGAGTGGAAGAGAACCAAAGGGATGCACAAAGGTGACCTGTGGTGGATGTGCTAGACAAAATGTTTAGAGAATTAGACAAGAGTTGACATCAAGGTGACATCAATCTCTGGTAAGGTTTTATGGCTTCCCCAGCACTTCTGCTCTTAATTTGCACATTTTAAGACACATTTTGCTTCAAAATTATCTACTCCTGCTCTTGTTCTCAGAGATTGTCATTCATTTGGACTGGAGTGAGACTTGGACATGAACATTTTTTTCAAGATCCAAATGAGTGTAAACATGTGCAGCCAAGATTGAGAACTAAAGTGGAAAATCTAACCTAATCCAGACAAGGTACACTGTGACTAGGAAAGTGAAAAAGTATAAACAGATGCAAATTCTTTCACTCTTTTTCTTTCTACCTCCCCTCCTCCTCTTTCTTCTCTTTAGCCCTCTCTCTTCCTCCCTCTCTCTTTCTTTCATCACTAAGTTGATTTTAAACTATTGTCCTTATATAAGCACTCAATATATGTGTTGAGTTCCTAACAAGGAAAGAATAACATTAAACTAATCAATCAGTGCAGATTTGTCTGATTTATTATAATCTCCTTGCTTCTTGATTATTAAAGAATATTCTTGGATAATATAAATTTAGTAGTAATGTATTATAAATATATGTGCATCTGATTTGACAATTATATGAATATATATCAGTCTACATTATGTTTAAATGGCTTTTCTTTTCCAAGTTAGTAAATTTCTCAGAAAACATTATTTTTTTTTCAAGGAGCATTTTTACTATGGTCCAAATTTTAGGGCTTGGGATATTTTAAAAAAATAGTACATTAAAAATGTAGATGTATTGCTAGTGAATATTCTTAAACTTCTCTCTAATATTTCATATCTCAGCATCATAAAGTTTGCAGAAAAAATTGAAGATCAGGTGAGGTTGATGGGTCAGAGATAGCTTGTGTGAAGGAAGGACTCACTGTTAATAAAGGATTCAGTAATGACATAGTTCTGGGGTATCAGCATCAAGTCAGAAAAAAACTGTATATAGGAATGACTAACTCTGCTAAGTCAAAATGTTAGGCTGAAAGTAATAGACAGGATATCACAGTTGTATTCTACAGATAGCGCTCTTCTCATAGTCCCTTCTAAAGTTGGAGAGGAAATTAGAAAGATACCCAAAGTTCTTAATTTAGCACAATATTACTAGTCTGGTTATTTGAAAGATTCTGAGCATCCAAGAGTTTACTACAAGCATATTTACACAGTCACATTTTTATTCAGACAGTTATTCATTAGAGAAAAGTCTTTTACATATAGTTGTTTACATTTCCATGAAGACATTGGTTTTGTGAGTCTATCCTTTTACATAACAATAGATAGCCTTAAGTTAAAAATGTACATTTATATGTTTATATATACATGTATATGTATGTATATGCTCACCAGAGATTAATGTACTATGTTGTAACCATTTCAGACCAAAATCCATCCCAACCAGTCCCTTTAGCACAGATGAAATGCTCAAAAAATTTCAGGTGATTTATTTATCTAACAACTTCATTGAAGTATAGTTGACATTCATAAAACATATATATATATATATATATATATATATATATATATACCAATTATTAATTTAGGCATATGTCCATGCCCATGAAAGCATCATTGCAATTAATATAAGAACCATATCTATCATTCCAAAATTTCCTCATGTTCCTTTGTGATCTCTTTTGTACCTCACTTCCTGGCAGTAACCACTGCTTTGTTTTCTGTTAGTAGAGATCACAGTTGTTTTATCTGGTTTCTATCACTGAGCATAATTAGTTTGAGATTCATCTTTGTTATTTCATGTATCAAGAGTTTATTCTTTTTTCTTGCTGATTAGCATTCCATTGGTTCAACACACAACAGTTTAATCCAATCACTTCTTGAAAGACGTTTTGGTTTCAATTTTTGATGATCACAAATAATATTGTATGCAAGTCTTTTTTTTAAAAAAAAAACTTTTAATTTGTTTTAATAAGTTATATATGACAATAGAATGCATTTATGCACTTTGATATATCATACATAGAATGGGTGTAATTTCTCATTTTTCTGATTCTACATGTTGTAGTATGCAAGTCTTTGCATGGACATTGCTTTCATTCCTGTTTAATACTGGGGAATGGAACATTGCATTGCATGGTAGTTGCATATTTAACGTTTTAGAACTTGCGACACTGTTTTCCAAAGATGTTGGAATGTTTTACATTGGTAAAATGTAATGTGCTACTAGTACTGTTTGTAAATTGCCTTTCTTTCACATCCTCAGTAACACTTCACATGGGTCAGTTTCTTTGTTTTTGTTTTTCAGCTTCATTTTATTGTTGTTGTTTATGTGGTAGGCAAGTGTTCTACCATTGAATCACATCTCCAGCCCCTCGTCAGTATTTTTAATGTTAGCCATTCTAATAGGCATGTATTTACATTTCAGGGAAACTTCAGGAGAGCAATTTTAAAGAATTCCTAGCCAGGGATGTGGGAGAAAAGAAAATGCATTCCTTTTTGGGTTTTCCTTTTTTTTTTTTTCTTCCTCTCTCTCTCTCCTGTCCTAGATATTTCAGGTCCTGAGTTTACTCCAAAACTTTTCTCTGCTCAGCCATGGTGGAAAGAGTTCATTCACCTTTCCCCTTTGACTCTTGCAGACAATCGTGTGCCTTTAAAGGATCTAACAGCAAGAATTAGGAGTGCCCTGGAGGCAAGGTAAAATTTGGCCCATGTAATCAATCATATCTGCTTCACTGAACTGTAATGACCCTGAGTACAGAAGACATCTTCAGTGGGACAGACTCACTGCCATGAAGTCCTTAACATTTTGTGGGTTAGAAAGCAGTTTTTACATTTAGATTCTGCCTTGTTTAGTCATAGTCTACTCTTCTCCTCTTAGGTATAGGTGAGTCTATTGGTGTGTAGTTATGATAGTATATCAAAATATAAATATCAGTAGATCAGAAGATGAGCTGGCCTTTTAAAAAATACGTCTCTGATTCTTCAAGTTAAAGAACAGAATCAATTGCACATAGTCCCCAACATCACAATAGCCACTTACAAACAGTAGATAGTTTTAGTTGCCCTGGATTTCATCAAGATTGATTCCTCCCAAACCAAGTAACGTCAAAGACTTGGAGGTAGATATATGACCTTGAAGAACAATTTCCAGGAGACACAAAGTAAAACAATTTTCTAGTGTCAGCACTAGGGTAAAAGGCTATAATGTTGTCAGACTCACCAAATTATAATAGCAACCAATAAAACTATTACAAATGGCAGCTTAGTAGGGGAAGTCATTTTATCATTGAGCTTTCTGGTTTCTGTTTTTATTGAAGTTCAGATACATACCTTGTATTTTTTGGAACCATGGAGAGGTGATATTAAGTCTGTAAAATCTAGGAACTTCTTTGCATACACTTCCCATACTTTCATATATCATAAAAGAGAAATTGAGGGAAAAATCAGTAGTCAACGTCTACCTTTTAGAAAATGCTTCCTAAATTAGAATATCCATGTGATATAGTGAACATCATAACCTCTAAAAGGACACTTGAGTGTCTACTCTTGACCAAGATGATGGTCTTCTCTTGATGATGGTGATGATGAAGTTGATGATGATGGAGTTGATGATAATACCACTAATGATAATGGCAGCTAACATTCTCAGGGTGCTTACTCTGGGCCAGCTCTCTGCTAAATGCTTTGCATGCATTGTCTCATTTAATCTTTGCAAGGCCCTGTCAGGTTGGTCCTATTATTATCTCCCTTTTACAAGGAAGTTTAGTGAAATAAATTACATAGACTGTATGCCACTTTGTAAGCTCTCTCCATTCTAGTCTTGTCTCTCTGTTACTACAAAAAAAAATTGAGACTTAGCTCTAATAATTATTATTAGCAGAGAAACTGGAGGACAGACAACGTGCAATTTGGTTGGAGGAAGAGCTTGATAGCTCTCAACCTGGATAACAATCAGTTAATGGATGTAGATATCAAGAATAGGGGAGAAAGCTCTTCAAGCAGCAGATCATTATGCAGCAGCTCAGCATGTTTATTAATCATTGTGCACAATTAAAATGCTATTTCATCCCTCTAATTAAAACAAGTAGTTCCCTGAGGCTAGCACCTGAACTAATGAAGCCTGGTTGCCTAAGGATCTCACTCAGGGAAGGGAATTAAACAATGGAGGAAGCAGTATGTTTACCAAGTTGCCCAGACAACGTCAAACTGTATATGACATCATGAGCGAGTGCACCAGTTGACACTCTGATTTTAAAGAGCCAGGGATGCTTCTGGTTTTTAGCAACGGTTGGTCTTAAACACGAACATCATTCCAGTTCTTTTTGGGTTTCATCTTTTGTGCTTACACGTTTTACAATTAATTGGGAAGTTTCTCCCTCCTTGGTATGTGAAATGGGTGTCTTGATGTTTGGAGGGAAGGCATACCAGAGATGGCATGTTGGCCTCTAGGAGGCTTCATGGGTTTCTGAAACTGGTTGATTCTATAAATAAAATGATACAGATAGGTTGAGAAGGTACAGTTAAAAACAGGGGAAAGAGAAATTTGCTGAATGAAAGAAAACCTAGGATACAGTCCCAGCATTACACCTGAACTGAATGACCCTGAATAAGACTCTTAGTTTCTTTATTGTAAATTAGGAGGACTAGGCAAGTTAATTATCAAGTTTTCCTCTAATTTTAAAATTCTATGGTTTGGGAGGAATTTGTGATTAACAAAAAAGTTCAAAGAGTTTTCGTTATATCCCAATTCCCCTATAATTTTGGCTGACTTAAGTCTTGCTTATTTTTCCTTTATAATTCCTGTTCAGTTTACCACCATATCTTTAGTGTCTAACATGATATGAGATGATAGCAGCTACTTTGTTAAATATATGCCTAAAACAAAAACCACGTCGAATCCACAGATCTCAGTAATTCACAAGTTTCAGTACTCTGCTCCAAATATTTGATACAACAAAGGGGAAAAAAAAGCCCTACTATTACATCCTGAATTATTCATCCGGGAAATGGCAAACCTGAGAGTTATGGGAGTGACCTTCATTCAATGGGTCCATCAATCCAGTTTCCTACAATGCTGTGCTTGAAAGCTGTGGTCCCACATCACCTCCACTAGTACCGGGCAAGAAGCCATGGCTCATCCTTCCTGTCTTCTACCTGTTACTTCCTTGTTTCTCATAATTTGCTGGCATCACAGATAAATAGCTATGCTGAGAAATTTGACGAATTTAGGAAGATTGGATTTTAATCTGTGTTTTATGGGTCACAGAGTCTCATGAGAATCTGATAGAGTTTAAAGAACCTTCATTGGAAATTCATTGACACAATGTTGCAAATAACTGTGAGATGTCACAGACCCTGAAAGCTCATCTATGGAGCTCAAATTAAAAGAACCCTTACTTTAAAAGATCATGTGAGAACTTCCAGTGTCCTTTAGATGGCCTATGTCTAGCGACCTCTTGCTTCCCTCTAGAAAGTGAAGAAAGATGGGCTTCCAACCTAAGAGCAGGTCTTTTTGGAAGAGACAGAATCAGTACCAATGTGCATGCCAGTGGAAATGTGTTGTGTGTGTGATGTGGCTGGCGGGCTCCAGAATCCGATGTCATGATTTCAGTTATTACCTCTCCTCCCTGCTTCATTCATAAGCAGGTTTTGTACTCCATGTCTTTATTTTAAACAAAGTTAAAATAGGACCATGGTGTTGGGGGGAGCGTGAGAGTAGAAAATATGCAAATTATAGGAAAAAATTAGAGGGCTTTAATTATCCCTCCTAATCTCAGGGCTCAAAGTCTGTTGGTAACTGGAGGTTGCAAATACTGGTCATAGACTCTAAGAATCTAAGAATTTATATTTTTCTGTTTTGGGGCAATTGGTCACATATCAGACCCACATTCTTCTTTCCAAACTCAAGCTCAGATTCTCTTGTACATCGTAGAAGGAAATATAACTTGGTCAATAAGACATCCAGAAACTAGCAGATATCAGCCAATAACTCAGATTAAGTGGCATGATAATTGGGTTTCCTAAGCATTTTTTTGGTATTAAAACAAGTTAATCAACCATAAAACACAAACTCATCAGAATCCAAGGTCTTATTCAATTAACTTTTGGCCTCAAACACTTAAGTATTTTTTTTTTCTTTCTTTCAAATCATTCTGTCATATTTTGCCAAGAAAGAAAGGATTGTCTGGAGCGGGAAATTCCAAAGATAGAATGAGAGCCAATTCTTTTAAACTGCATTATTTTATCCATAATTATTATTTTTAGTAAAAAAATGAAAACAAAAGTTTTCTTTTTTGCTCAGAAGGGAGCTGAAATCTTGAACTTACAAATTAAAGGAGAGGGACTGGCGTTTTAGAGCTTTTTGTTTGAAGTGACCCTTAGATTCTTACATCATATTTACTCTACAACAATGGATAAACTATAAGTTTTGGAGGCAAAATAACCATTAATATAATACCACCAACACATGATTTTGTGTCTAGCTGCTTTATTTTAAATTGATTTACAGCTTCTTAATATATTTTCTTGGTATTAAGGTCATAGATTTACAGTTAAACTAGGCATCTAGGCAAGTATAAACCTTTACTAGTCCTCAAATTACAACTAAGTTTCCTGGCTCTGAGCCTTTGGAAACAAGGTATGTGCCTTGTTTGTGGAAGAGTTAAAATAAAAGAAGTGCCTTTTTCTTTCTTCTCTTTCTCTTTCTTTATATCAGATGAAACTGGGTTAAAATTCCATATGTCAGGGGCTTGGAATGTCACTCAGTAGTAAAGTGCTTGCCTATCATATACCAGGCCATGGGTTCAATACGCACTACTGAAAAAAAAAATCCCATGTATTGCATATTTAACTATGTGACTCTGGGTAAGTTATTTAATCTATGAGCGACAGTTTCCAGCTGTAAAATGATGAGAAAAATATTCCTCAATGAAATTTCTTGGTATGGAAAGCCTATAAAAAGTCGGTTATTCCTCTGTTCCCTGAATCATCTCTGTATTTTTGTATTGTCACTGTAAATTCAGGGGTAGCAGCAAAGATGTAGAAACTCTCTGGAGGTAGAAGTTAAGAGATCAAGAAAGACAGTGGGTCTGAATTGTGATAGGCAAGGTAAGTTGTCAAGACATAAGTCATAGGCTTCAAGATGTGATATTGGACCACAAATCAAAAACACAGACAATTCAGGGCTTATAATCAGGGTTGGCAAAGAGAAATCCAGAGGGTTGAATATGACTATTTATGTATTAACATAATCTTGCCAGCCAGGGAGAAGATAACAGTCAAAATCCATTCATTTATTTACTTAAAAGTGTATACGAAGAACCTGGACTGCTTCTAGCATTAGAGTAGTAGCTCATGGTCTGACTGGGAGGTAGATAACACACACACACACACACACACACACACATTAGTTATAATACACTATGGTAATTTCTAGTAATATTAACAAAGTCTTCTGAGAACAGAGAAGAAAGAGAAAAATTAATATTGGAGAAACTGAGCTAGCTTTCTGGCTCATTACATGCTTATGGAATGAAAGTAACATTTAATCTAGGTGTTAAAGGATCAGTAGAATTTTGCCAAAGATACAGGATAAGAAATTTACAGTTTGAGGGAAACAGAATTGTATATGGTTTGAAATTATAAAGGTTTGATGGATAAAAGGAAAGATGCAAAATTCAACAGAGAAAAGAAGTTTGAACAGAGTGCAAGGTGGGCCCAGATGGGAAAATGGGAGCAGTCCAAGGTTTATTGAAGTGTTGAACCACATGACAGCTTTGGTTTTTAAGGAAAATAACACTAATATTATATTGAGAGTGAATTAGACTAAGAACAGTCACGTCGGAGAAATACAAGTTAGGTTATTGATGTAAAAATGGCATTAATACTTTTTTGAGGGGTGAAGAAGAATAGTTGTATGAAGCATATACATTTAAAAATATCTTGAACTTTGTAGCATTTCTAGTTTATAGAGTATTCTTACATTCTGTAAGTCACTCTAAGTCACTCTATAAAATAAATATTATTAGTAGTATTTATTAGTAGTAGTATTATTAGTAGTATTCTGTAAGTCACTCTAAGTCACTCTATAAAATAAATATTATTAGTAGTATTTTTCACATTTTATAGATGAAGAGAGTGAAATTTAGAGAAAAATAAAAGGTTTATCAGTCTTCCAGTTACTAAATAAAATGCTGGGTTTAACTCAGTTGATCTCCAAAATCATTGTGTTTTTCTACCATACAGAGGCTCAGAAGTCAATTGAATTTCCAGCTGAGCATGGAAATTATATTGTACCAAAAGAAGCTGCAAAAATCCACCATTCTGAGTTATCACTCTTGGGTAGTTAGTTCCCTCCCACCCTGCCTCTGGACTTAGCCATATCATTTCCTTTGGTCATGGGGACAATAATAAGCATGACTCAATGAGAGACTTGTAAAGTATTTGTGTTGACCTTTT